CGGCCGCTGAAGCTGCTGGCACACGGCGCAAACTGGAGCAACTGGCGCACGAACAACTGGTGCAACTGGCACATGGGCAATTGGAGTAAATGGCTCTGCTCGCCGGCAAGAGCAACTGAACACTGGCAACTGGAGCAACTGGCACACGAGCAATTGGAGTAACTGGCTCTGCTTGCCGGCAAGATCAACCGACTCACGGGCCACTGGCGCAACGGTCTCATGGGCGACTGGAGCTGCGGACTTCACGGCGGCCACTCGCCTTCAACCTCCTCGCATTGTCCCAAACCCCCTTTCACACCCCTCGGCATCCCTAGCGCCACTCCCTCGTCTCCCCCACACCCTCACCCCCCCCCTCAGCGGCAGCTACAGCCGTGGGAGAGAGAGGAGGAGGAGCAGCAGCTGATCACTCACGCTCGCCACCCCTATGCCCTCCCCCCCCATGGCTGCACGCGCAGCAGGGAGAGAGAGTGGAAGGCGAGCGGTAGCGGCAGTAGCTCCTCCCGCCACTCCCACCACTCCACCCTTCCCCCCTACAGCAGCAGGTGCGGCCGTGAAAGAGTGGAGGCAGGGTGGTGCTGTTGCTGCCACCTCTCCCTTACACCCCCTCCCCCCAGTGGCACGTGGGGCGCGCGGCCAGCAGGGCGCACGGGGTGCGTATGGCAGCACGGCGCGCGGGGCGCACGGGGCAGCAAGGCGCGCAGGGCGCTTGGGCATTAGGGCGCACTGGCGGGCAGGGCAGCTTGATGCACGGGCGGGCAGGGCAGCGCGACGCGCGGGCGGGCAGAAAGGGCAGCGCGCAAGGCAGCGCGCGGCGGGCAGGGCAGCGCGCGGCGAGTTTAGGGCAGCGCGCTGCGAGTTTAGGGTTGCGCATGGCATGCAGGGCAGCGCACGGCGAGCAGGGCAGCGCGCGGCAAGTTTAGGGTTGCGCACGGCAAGCAGGGCAGCGTGCGACAAGCAGGGCAGCGCGCGGCGAGCAGGGCAGCGTGCGACGAGCAGGGCAGCGCGCGGCGTGTTGGGCAACGCGCGGCGAGCAGGGCAGCGCGTAGGCTGCAGGGTAAAGCAGCGCGGGCAGCGACGCAGCACGCACGGCAGCAGGGCAGTAAAACGACGCGCACTCGTGGCGCGCAACAGGCAGAGGCGCACGAGGTGCTAGGCAGGGGCGCACGAGGCGCCGGACGAAGGTGCACAAAACGCCGAGCAGTGTGATGGGCGGCGCGATAGGGTGCGCCATAGTGGAAGCTAACGGTGGGCCCATTGTCATCGGTCCGAGGAGGAACCGCTCTGATAGCATGTTGAGAATAGAAGCGAAGAAGGAAAGGAAGAAGTGGATGTACTAACAGGTAGGTGGAGTACATATAGGAAACCCTAAAAGGGTTGTACTCTCTGTTGAGTACCCCACTACAACCTACACAGCAAATAACATCTTGACATGTCGTTCTTCTTCCCCTGCTTAAGCTTTGGGCAGTCTCTTTTCAGGTGGCCCAGCTGGTTGCATGCAAAGCACAGCCCGATGGCTCGGCTTGGCACATCCATGACGTTGATTGTGGGCTGCTAAGTGGATCCACGAAATCGAGGGCTCTCTCAAGAGCTCGATCTCGCCCACTGTATCTGCGCATCCGTTGACTTAGCTTCCTGGACGGCGTCGTTACATGTGCATGGCCGCGTTTGTCAAACCTCGAACCGTACTTCATATTTCAGGCCCGCCACGTACCGGTCCAATTGCTCCGCATCGCTCATGTCGTCCACTTGGTCCGCCAAGTTGCAGAAAGTGCTAGTGTAGTCTTGGACCGAAGTCAGCTGCTTCCAGGCACGCAGCTTCATGCGAGCAGAATCCGAGGCGGATACGTGCTCGAATCTGGTTCGCAAGAAGGCACCTCACTCCTTCCATGTGCGTATCATGGCCGTCCCGAAAATCGAAGCTGCTTGTTGCGTGACAAGCGTCAAAGTCCCGTTGTTCGCACGTGCTATTCCTGCCGAAGTCCCTTCGTCTTGCAACGTTCGTCGCCACCACTCCAGCGCAGGTCCTCGTAATAGTGATACTGCGAAATTAATGTGGGTGGCCTCATCATTAATCATAGCAACATTGAAAAACACCTCCATGCCGAACAACCATGCAGAAACAGTGACAAACTTGTCACTTGGGTTAAACGTGGGCAGGTTTGTCAGCTTAATTTCAACAGTTGTTGAAGCTGTCATTGCTGCTGGGACTATTGCCGCTAGTGGTGTCGTCACTGGAGTTGTCGCTGCTGCACGTGTCGGCGCTGCACGCGACTGTCGTAGTGACTGTTGCTGCTGTGCCTGCCTCGCATTGTCCGCATCCATGGAGCCTTCCAGCTCATCCCAGACCCGCTCATCTTTCGTGGAGCTGCTACTTGCGTCCTCAACGACAGGTGAATCCTGGCACGCTTCACCATGCGCCTAGTGTAGCTCGGCGTTCTACTTCCTCAGGCGCTCCATTTCCCGGTTATCGCTTGCATGTTGGCCTGCATCGATCGGAAGTTCTGCAGGAAAGCGTCAAACTCGACCTACTACATGTTTCTCAGGCTTCGTCGGACGGGTAGGGGTTGGTTAGCGATTTTTCTGACTTTGATGAAGGCGCAAACGCTATCGTAGTCAGCTTGAAATAAGGACGTGGGCCCAATCGAGTTTGATCGCCTCGATCACACACGATCAACAATTTCTAGGAAGCTTGGAAGCCAATTTCATGCAATCGGACCCGATTTTCACCCCGATCAGAGGCGATTTTCCTCGATCATAGGCGATCACCTGATTGCATGTGATCGGGGCCCACATCGATGCTTGCGAGTAGTTGCACAGTTGCAACTACAGTGAAACGATGATTTTCGCCAGGTGACGTATGGTCGCTAATCTGGCTAGAATGGGGACGAAGATGCGAGGTAAATGTACCGCGCTTACTAAGCAGGTGTTGGAAATCCTCTTCGAAAAACATCTCTGATCGGGCGGCTCGAGCACAGCAATCACAAGCAACCCGATCAGATCCGACCCGATCAGATCAGTCCCGATCAAGCTCGATTGGGCCCACGTCCTAATCGTATCTATTTCACAGTCCGATCGCTTTGCAGCCCACCAAGTCTATTGCACCCGTGTACTAAACTACCCCGAAAATGCGAGGGTAACCTAGAAAAGTAGCTCTCATACCAAGTGTTATGAGTTGTGAAAGAGAAAAGTGCGCAAAATGCAATAACACGGAAGTGATTACAACGTTTAGCAGATAATGAAGTCTAGGGCTAGTCTAGCAAGGCTACCTATGCGATGGTCGCGGGATCGCGAGATGGTTGGGTGCAGGTTCGGGGTTGGAAAACCCAAAGGCGACACGATGGTGGCTCGGAAGGCGAGGTCGTCGGACCGAGCCTGGTTTCCGAAAACTGGGCTGTACGCGTACAATGTGACCCAGTGAGGAATCCGGGAAAATTCCTTACAATTAGCCTTACCAAATTTGATTTTCTAGAAGTCATGTTGAACAACTCTAAATTGGGCTCGTGGCTATACGGTAACTTTCACATAGAAAAATGCGACAATTGATTTATGTTGGGCTGAGAAAAGCCCTTAGAATCTTTCAAGGCTAAGATTGTGATAGGAATGTTGTATTGCGGAAGCGTTGTAATAAGGAACCTTGTTGAACCACCTTGCGCTGGTATGTGAGGGCAAGATAGATTGATTATAAGGAAGTAATACAAGCTTTTATGAGGGTACAATCCTGTGGGGACACTTGCGTCTCAATCACTTCGTGACACCCAAAAACAACATAAACTGTATTGTGTCCCAAATGCGAATCGGCTTTCGACGACTTGTACTATATTTATTATTGGTCAGCGTGAAACGCGTTGACATCGCCTACGAATTGTGAATCGACCCGTCATTCGCACGCGACTCGAAATGCCCGACACGCCCACATGCACCTGGACATCCGAAAATGCCAATTTTGCGAGGGAAAATATCCCGCGCATCGAAACCACGCCCCTGCTCAGAGGTTGAAAATACGGGTGTACTGTCACCCAGTCAAATGCACACACCTGTACATCTCTTCTTGATCCCCGCCAGTGAAACGTGTCCAGCTGAATCTGCCAATATGTCGCCCTACGTCGCGGTACATTCGATGTTTGTGACACAACATTGGGAAAATGAACAGGCGCAACTCGGGAAAACGGGGATTGAGACACAAGTGTCCCCACAGGAATGTACCATAAGATTACAAGGAATATGAAAGAATGCAATAACTGTTTTACTGTTGCGGTTGCGGTTCGATACAGTGACGACCCGGGCAACTACTCAGTATCGAGTCAGTTGTTTGTCGTTGGTGTCGCGCTGTATTTGTCGAGTCAAAGGTCGCTGACCTTTGACCTTAGCGTAACCTCCGGCTGTTACTTTTCTGTTAACCTCCTTGGTTGACTCGCCATTGCTCCGCTGTAGCTTGCCTCGTTTACGGTTCGATGTTACGACACATAGGAAGCGTTAAATTACTTGTTTCCAACAATTTACACCCATGACATTGCATCATGTAGAAGCCCAAATGGAATGCCTCCACTCCTTGATGGATTCAGAGGAGAGAACTACACCATTTGCCATGCATGAACGGCTGTGAGAGATGACCCGTGCCGACAACAAACCCGTATCCCCGCAACTGCTGTGAGCTTCGCTTCTCCTGCTTGTTGTGCACTGCTAAACAATGGCACGGTCTTGTGCCAGTACTGTACCTATGCAACGCCCACCCAGGGTGCTCAGGGTTGCTCCTTTGCCTTCTGCGGCTGCTGCTTCGTTGGGCTAGGTCTATGCTACGTTGCTGCTATGCTACACCGATGCCTGTCACAACAGCCCGACTTTTGGGCCAAATCAAAAGCCTCTCTGTCGCTGCTACTATGCGGAGAGCAGTCACAACAGCCCTGGGTTGTCACGACCGCCCCTGCTGCCGCCGCAGCTGCTGCTGCTCCAACAGCACCCAAATTTCTCCTGTGCACTGCCTCATCCGGCACGTTTCACACTCATAACAGCCCTGGGTTGTCCCCTTTCATTCGAGCCGATGACGAGGACGATTGGGGTAAATGCCCGTTGGCAAGGATAGGAGGGCCGTACGATTGAAACAGTGCTGGGTGTGCTGCTGCTCCCACCGCCCCTGCCGCCGCCGCTGCTGCTGCTGCCGCAGCACCACCACCAGCACCAGCACCGGTAGGGCCAAAGGAGCCAGGCACGGGGACAGGCAAGGCAGGGGGTCGGGCTGATGCTGCTGCTGCGGCAGCGGCTGCAGCTGCTGCTGTCAGGTGAGGGAGAGGGATTGGGGAGGGACCCATGCCGAGCGCTGCTGCTGCTGCCGCTGCTGCGGCGCTGGTGGGAGCGAATGGGAGCCTGACACGTGGCAGAGGAGCCATGGCAGGGGGAGGGCACCAGCAGGTATAGGAAGCTGTTCTGAAACTGGCTGGGATGACCCCCCACCTGCCTGCCCCTGCTGCCCTCCCTGTGCTGCTGCTGCCGCTGCCGCTTGCTGCTGGTGCTGGTGCTGATGATGCTGGTGCTGGCTGTGGTGCTGCTGCTGCCCTGTCCCCTGCATCTGCTCCTGCTGCTCCCTCTCCCCTCGCGCCTCCTGCTGCCGCACAAACAGCCCTGCCGGATCCCCAGCACCAGCAGCCGCAGCCGCCGCCGCAGCTGCCGCTGTCGCAGCAGCAGCAGCGGAAGCAGGGTGATCAGCAGGTTGCAGGGACGGTCTCCAAGAGGGGATAGGCGCTGCTGCCAGGAGCTGCTGGAGCAGCGGGCCTGCCTCTAGAACAGCCTTCACCAGCTGCCCCTGCTCAGGTAGCGCCTTCAGCATCGCCTGCATGTCCGTGTCTGGAGGCTCGGGAAGGTGCCTCTGACGCGCGTCCGAGTCGAGAACCGAGGCTAGGACTGCTGGGTCGAGGGTTGGTAGTGATGGCGGGAGCAGCATGGGGTTGAGAGTGGTTGGGATGGGTGCGGGGGGGATGGGCGCAGTGGCAGCAGCAGGAACTCCTGTGATGCGAGGGAGGTTGCTGAGAGCAGGGAGGGGCTGTGGGGGGGGGGGGGCCGTTGGCAGCTGGAGTGGAAGCAGAGGTGAGTGGGGCGGGTGGGAGCAGGGAAGGGACGGATTGGGCGTGGGGGGGAAGAGAAGGGTTCCACCTGGGTGGGGCACCTGCACTGGCAGCACCAGCAGCAGCAGCACTGGAAGCGCCAGCGCCAGCAGTGGCAGCATCAGCAGCAGCAGACGGGGGTGCAGTAGCAGCAAGAGGGGCAGCACCAGACAAACCACCCGCAGCTGCAGCAGCACTAGCAGCAGCAACCGCGGCAGCAGCGGCAGCAGCAGTTGCAGCAGATGAACCAGCTGGGATGGAGGAGGAGGCGAGAGAGGAGACAGAAGACAGGCCCATGGCATGCCCTGTGACCCCATTCCTCGGGTGGTGGAAATAGGAAAAGTTGGGAGGCAGGTGCTGCATCTGCTGGTATGGGTGGGCAGGGTGTGACGGGTGCAGAAGCAGGTGCGGCGGGTACGAGCGGTGGTGCGGGTGAGATTGGGGCAGCTGACCCTGATGGTGCAGCTGAAGGTGCTCCTCCTCCTCCTCATCGCCCTCATCATCCATCTCATCCATTTCCTCCTCGTCCTCCTCCTCGTGACTCCCTATACCACCACCACCACCTAGCCCCGCCCCGTGACCGCTCACATGTCCGTTTGCACCCCCGTGTGCCCTGTGAGTAGCATCAAAGAGACCATACTCTTCAGCCTTCACCTCTGCTACTGCCCACTGCCCTTGCCGTTCTCCCTGCCTCTGCCCTGTGTCTCCAAGGTGCTGCTGCTGCTGCTGCTGCTGCTGCTGCTGCTGCTGCTGCTGCTGCTGCTGCTGCTGCTGCTGCTGCTGCTGCTGCTGCTGCTGCTGCTGCTGCTGCTGCTGCTGCTGCTGCTGCTGCTGCTGCTGCTGCTGCTGCTGCTGCTGCTGCTGCTGCTGCTGCTGCTGCTGCTGCTGCTGCTGCTGCTGCTGCTGCTGCTGCTGCTGCTGCTGCTGCTGTTGCTGCTGCTGTTGCTGCTGATGTTGCTGCTGATGTTGCTGCTGCAGCTGCTGCTGTAATTGCTGCTGCTGTTGCTGCTGCTGCTGTTGTTGTTGCTGCTGCTGTTGTTGCTGCTGCTGCTGTTGCTGTTGCTGCTGCTGCTGTTGTTGCTTCTGCTGCTGCTGTTGCTGTTGCTTCTGTTGCTGCTGTTGCTGTTGCTGCTGCTGTTCTGTCAGTTTCTGCCTTTCCTGCTGCTGCACCTGTGCTTGCAACTGCTGTAGGTGCTGCTGCTGTGATATAGACATCTGCTGCTGCTGCAGCTGTTGTTGATATTGCTGCTGCTGTAGCAGTTGTTGCTGTTGCTGTTCCTGCTGCTGCTGTTGCTGTTGCTGTTGCTGTTGCTGCTGCTGCTGCTGCTGCTGCTGCTGCTGCTGCTGCTGCTGCTGCTGCTGCTGCTGCTGCTGCTGCTGCTGCTGCTGCTGCTGCTGCTGCTGCTGCTGCTGCTGCTGCTGCTGCTGCTGCTGCTGCTGCTGCTGCTGCTGCTGCTGCTGCTGCTGCTGCTGCTGCTGCTGCTGATGCTGCTGTTGCTGGGGATCAACAATTGGGGGAATCAGGGCCAAATCCTGAATCTCCACCATTTCCACCTTCACCACATCTACCCCCCCCAGAACGCCCTTGGATAATGTGCTAGGTGAACCTTCCCCTTTCTGAAATAGCTGCTGTTGCATCTGCTGTTGCTGCTGCTGTTGCTGCTGCTGTTGCTGCTGCGGCTGCTGCTGTTGGCCCTGCATCTGCTGCTGCATACCACCCCCGCCCCGCCCCTCACCTGCCCCTCTCTGCCCCACCCCACTCCTCTCCACCACCCCACCTCTCTCTCCACCCATCTGCACCTGCCCGATCGACTCAGCAGCCTGCATATGCAGCTTCAGCAGGCTCTGCACCTGCGCCTGCTGCAGCTGCTGCTGCATCCCCACCGGCAGTCCCTCACACTGCATCCCCACCAGCGGCATACCCCCGCCACAGTTATCCAGGTCTAACGGGGCGGGTTCTGACCCGGGGGTTCTTGTGACTAGGAGTGGGGAGTGGCCAGGAGGCAAGGGGGAGTGACCTGGGGGTAACGGGGAGCGGCGGTCCCCGAGGGATTGCAAGGGGGGTGCTTTGGAGAGGGCGGAGGCTGGTTCGGATTGTAGTTGTATTGGAGGGGCTAGTAACGGGGATGTTCTTTCAAGAACCGCGTCTTCGGTGGTGGGGTAGGTGGAGAGGACCATTTGGGGTGTTGGAATGGGGAGTGAGTGCAACGGCTGCTGCTGTGGTTGCTGTTGCTGAAATTGCTGCTGCTGCTGCTGCTGTTGCTGCTGCTGGTGCTGCTGTTGCTGTTGCTGGTGCTGTAGCTGCTGCTGCTGGGTTTGCTGCTGTGGGAGTGATTGCTGCTGTTGCTGCTGAACCGGCTGCTGCTGCTGCTGCTGCTGCTGCTGCTGCTGCTGCAGGATGCAAGAATCTGCTGAATCCTCCACAAAGCTAGACGCAGGAGCCAGGCACACAAGCCCTTCCACCCTGCCCTCCCTGCTCTCCCTCAGAGGGCTCGGCATCCGCCCACCCGCCTCTCGAATCATCCTCAGCGCCAACGGCTCTACCATTTCCACACGAGGAGGCGTGCCTTCGAGCCCACTCAGGCCAACTATCACCCCTGCAGATGAGCCCGGCATGAGTATGCATCTATCCATGTCACCAGCTGCAGCTGCTGCTGCGGCTGCTGCTGACGCGGCTACTGCAGCTGAAGCAGCTGCTACAGCCGGTGCCGCAGCCGCAGCAGCGCCAGCAGCAAGCGAAGCAGGGCGTTGGGGCGAGCTGGGCACGGAAGGTACCACGTGGGGGGAGGAGAGCACCTGAGGCGGAACAGAGCTGCGGAAATCACAGGCGGAGTAGGACCCCGTGCCACTGGCGCAGCCCCCCCCGCCGTCCCCTGACGCTGCAGCTACAGCGGGCAGTATGCGGCGGGGAATGGCGCCTAGCAGCGGGCCTTCGTCTGGTGAAGGAGTTGATACAGCAGCTGCTATAGCCGCTGCTACAGCAGGTGCTACAGCTGGTGCTACAGGCGGGAAAACGTCCATGGGCGTGGGTTGGCTCACGTCTGTGTCGAAGGGTGGTTGCTGAGGGGTAAGGGAGTGGCTCTGAGAGTGAGTCTGCTGTTGGTATGCCTGCTGTTGCTGTTGTTGCTGTTGCTGCTGCTGCTGTTGCTGTTGTTGCTGCTGTTGGTGCTGCTGCTGTTGCTGTTGCTGCTGCTGTTGCTGCTGTTGCTGTTGCTGTTGCTGTTGCTGCTGCTGCTGTTGCTGTTGTTGCTGCTGTTGGTGCTGCTGCTGCTGTTGCTGTTGCTGCTGCTGTTGCTGCTGTTGCTGTTGTTGCTGCTGCTGCTGCTGTGGTTGAGGAGGGAGAGGGGGAAGCGAGGAACTGACTGGCAGTTGCAGCTGCGATTGCACCTGTGGCTGCACCTGGGACTGCCCGTTTGGCTGCCCGGCTTGCTGCTGCTGCCGTTGCTGCTGCTGTTGCAATTGCTGCTGCTCAAGCTGCTGTTGCTGCTCCAACTGTTGCTGCTGCTGGTGGTGATGCATCTGCTGCTGCTCCTGCTGCTGCTGCAGTTGCAGAAGCTTCTGCTGCATCAGCACCTGCTGCTGCTGCAGCAGCAGCTGTTGTGGTTGTGGCTGCGCCTGCTGTGGTTGCTGCATGGGGGAAGGGGGAGGACGCTGCCTCGGCTGTTGGAGTGGTGAGGCCGCTACAGGTTGCTGCTGCTGCGGCGGCGGCTGCTGCAGAGGCTGCTGCTGCGGCGGAGGTTGCTGCTGTTGCTGCTGTTGTTGTTGCAGCAGCAGCAGCTGCTGCTGCTGCTGCTGCTGCTGCTGCTGCTGCTGCTGCTGCACTTGATACGCTTCCACTGCCTGGAGCGCAGGGGAGGGGGGCGGCTGCTGCTGCTGCATAACCGGCTGCTGGAGCTGCTGCACCTGAGCATGCGCCTGAGCATGCACCTGAGCATGTGCCTGAGCCTGCACCTGCGCTTGCGCCTGTGCCTCTGCGTGAGCCTGCGCCTGCGCCTGAGCCTGCGCCTGTGCCTGCGTTAGCGCATGAGAGGGTATGAGCCCTTGGGCATGCAGCAGAGGGGAAGGGGGGACAGACTGCTGCTGGCCAGACAACGCTGCTTGCTGCGCCTGCTGCTGCGTTTGTTGCTGCGTCTGCTGCTGCTGCTGCGCCTGCTGCAGCGACTGTGGGGGCATGGGCGGCAGTTGCTGCAGCAGCTTCCGAGGAGCAAGAGACGACGTCTTGCCATGGGCAGCTGCACCTCCCACATCCGCCCCACCTACCACTCCCGGCCCTCCTGCCAATCCCCCAGCTCCTGCTGCCGCATTCTGCTGTGACAGGTCATTCCAGCTACCCACCCTCGGCATCCGACCCCCCTGCCCTTGTCCCTGTCCCTGCCCCTGCACCTGTTGACTTAGCTGACCCTGCTGGGTGGGAAAGCTATCCGCGCTAGAAGCTACTTCGAATCCCACCTGAGGAGACGAAGGCACGGACTGCACTAGCTGGGGAGCACCTCCCACCCCGGACCCTTGCCGAAGCAGCGAGCTAGGCCCGGCACGCTGCACCGAACCTCCTCCCGAGGCTGTGCGCACTGCAGGAGACGCAGGGACGGAACCCCCGCCAACGGCTGATGGTGGTGGCGGCGGTGCCTCTGCTACACCTGAACCCGTCAGCGCCTGCCCTCCGGTTACCGTGGGTTGCTGTGCCACAGGCTGCTGCTGCTGCTGCTGCTGCTGCTGCTGCTGCTGCTGCTGCTGCTGCCCCTGCAACCCCTGCCCCTGCATGCCCTGTCCCTGCAACCCCTGACCCAGCATTCCCTGTCCAAGCATACTTCCCTGCATACTCTGCCCTTGTACCGATTGTGATTGCATCGAGGCCTGTGGTTGAGAACTCGAGGAAGGTCCCTGGGAGAATCCCCCAGGGATAGAAGGCAGGCCACTGGAGGAGGTGGGAGCCGTGGACTGGACGGCAGGAAGAGAGGCGAGGGAGGGATGCGAGGGAAGGGGCGGCTGCAGGGTCTGCAGATTCCCCTGCTGCTGATGCTGGAAGGGTGGCAACGATTGGGCTAGAGGCTGGCTGAGAGCAGGTGCGGCTCCCGTGCCTCCGCCTGTGCTAGTCGCAGCAGGAGCGGTTTGTGCAGACAGCAGCTGCCCTTCCATCTGCTGCTGCAGTTGCTGCATTTGCTGCTGCAGCTGTGTTTGCTGTGACGACTGCTGCTGCTGCTGCTGCTGCTGCTGTCGTAGCATCTGCTGCTGGTTTAGCACCTGCTGCTCTTCCTGCTGCTGTTGCAGGCTCTGCGAATCCACCCCCATCGCCTCCTCGTGGATCTGCTGTCGCTTCTGTCGCAGCAGTCGCAGCTGCTCCTCGCTCTGCTGAATCTCCATCGCCAGCAGCTGCTCCTGCGATAGCTGCGACGCCTGATGCGACGGCCCTGACGACTGCACCTGCGCGACAGCAGGCGACGACGGCAGCGGCTGCTGCGACTGCTGGCCTGTCGCACGACCCGTCGCCTGAGTCGCCTGCGACGCCTGCGCCTGCGACTGACTAACCACAGGCTCGGAGGGGAGTTCCACGATCACAGGAGCTGATGCCGATCCGGATGCTGCTAGGGCCTGCGGAGGAGCAGCAAGCATCGGAACGCTAGACGCTCCCAACGACGTCCTTATTTGGTGCTGCTCCGTCGTCTGCTGGCTCTCCACCCGCACCTGATGAAACACCTGCTGCTGCACCTGCTGCTGCTGCTGGAGCGACGGCGGCGGCGCCTGATGCTGCTGGTGGTGCTGCTCGTGATGGTACACAGTGGTTGTCTGAGGGGTCATCTGCCACGTGTCACCCTGCTGGAACTGCTGAATGCTAGAGCCAGGTGTCAGCGCACTGGGAGCCGTCTGCATGCTCACGGATTCAACCCGAGTCATGGATACTTTCTCCACCCGAGCCAAGACCACAGGCTCGGCTACCCGAGCCATGTCCACAGGCTCGGTAACCGTGCCTGTAATGGACGGTCGGATTAAGGCGTGAGAGTCCGATCGGGCTTGGTCAAGCTCCTGCTTGTGCTTCTGCTCCGCGCTGTCTAGTTGCTCTTTCAGCTCGTCCCTTTCCCGCTTCACCACGTTTAATTGCTCCTCCAGGTATCGAACCCGGGCCTCGTGCAGCTGTCCCTGTGCCGCGGCAGCGGTTCTCGCGGATTGTAGCTCTTCCGTCGCGCATTTCAGCAATTGACGAAGGCTTTCCACTTCCTGAAGCAATGGAAAAAGCACGACGTGGGTGTAAATAACAAGGACGGAAATGTTAAAAAGGAAAAAAAAAGTCTTGCACAGTTGAGGCATTTGCCAAGAGATAAGAAACTTCAATCAAAATAGAGATGCTTTAACCTTAAGTAAGCCTAGAAAGAACGGGGGAGTGGCTTAAATTATCATACACGAATGAGCAGAAAAACTACTTGCCTGTAAATGGGAGCAACACGGCTCGTGAGTAGTGCGATCCATTATAAACACCTAAACTACGTCAGACGAAAAGACGAAAGGAATAAGGTCCTAATTCGCTAAAAATCATCCAAATAATAGACAGGACTAACAAATAAGGAATGAAGGAAACCTAGTGGACTAAGAAACTTCCCCCATTAGGAACCTCGCAGCTACGATGCCATCGCCAACTAGCCAAGAAGGAATAGAAAGCCAAAGCAGCAGTCGATGCGAAAGTCGGGACCGGAAAAGCTGGGAAAAGCTCTTTCTAGGGTTTCCGAATAAGTGCAGAGCATGAGCGTGAGGGGGAAGGTGAGGGGAGAACAGTGAATGAGAATCACGGGCGAATCGGGCCGAGAAAATCGGTGCTACAGTAAAGGGAACCACATGATTGGTACAGTATGAGAACTGTTGTCATGCTGAGAACGGAAATGCTGAGAACAACTTTTCTTAGTGGTTGTTACGAGTGCAATTGAGTGAACGAACGAGAATTGCACTATCGAAGCAAGAATACAATGAGCGAGGGCGTGAGCGAAGAATATATAGCGAAACTACAGTGGTAACGGTAATGGTCTGTGGTAGTCGCGCGACGAGCCTGGGACTGAGGTTGGGAAAGTGTCGAGGCGTAGGCCCGGAGCGCGGGTTACCAGCCGAGCCGTGAGGTCGGGATGCGATGTGCTAAAAATGGCGGGATGATTGTCGATGCGATGATCGCGAGTGGTAACGGTGCTGACTGAGGTGCTACAGTGATGTACGCGTTGAGCAGGGATGCGAAGTAAGGAAAAGGGATTTTCCTTACACTACCCTCCCCCCCTCCTAAGGAGGTCCTTCTTACGAAAGTGTGTGGACATCTTTGAAGTTTCGGCTGCGCAGATATTCGGTGAGGACAGGGTGGTTTTCAATTCTGTCCAGGGGAACCTAGTTGTCCTCGGTAGGTGTACGGTCTTTCCAGCGGATCAGGAACTCGATCTTTCGGGCTCCTCGGGGGTCGCGAACTCTGTGACTCAGGATTTTGTCGGGGGTGATGATTGGTTCGGATGGTGGTCGCGCCATGCTGGATGGTCGGTGTCGTGGGAGTTGGCCGGTGGATGGTACGTAAGGGCGAAGCAAGCTGACGTGGAATGAGGAGCTGACGTACCAGTCAGCAGGGAGGAGGAGGTGCGCGGTGACAGGTGTGATCATGTGGCTAATTCGAAATGGCCCACAGTATCGGGGGCGGAGTTTTGGAGTGATGGGCAGGCGGAGGTTTTGAGTGTCGAGTAAAACGAGGTCGTCGGGCTGATAAGTGACAGGTCTGCGGTGGCGGTCGGCGTTGCGTTTAGCGATGATGTTCGATTTTTTGATTGCTTCTGCTGCCCTGGTCCGTGCTGCTTGCAAAATCTCGGCAAATTGTTGCGCACGTGGAACGGGGTTGTCGGGATTTGGGGTCATGGGTACTGTGGGGTCTTGTCCGTAATTCAGGTAAAACGGCGACTGTTGGGTCGTGGCAGATGGCGCATTGTTGTATGCGAATTCGATGAGTGGCAGCTGCTGCTCCCACGTGTTTGGGTCGTCGCACGTGGCCCTAATGAGCTGCTCCATGGTCTGGTTTGTCCGTTCTGTCTGTCCGTCGGTTTCGGGGTGATACGATGAACTGAATTGTAGTCGCGTGCCGGACTGCTGCCACAGGTTCCGCCAGAAATTGCTGGTAAACTTCGTGTCTCTGTTGCTGATGATCGATGCTGGTATCCCGTGCAGTCGACAACGGTGGTGATGAAGAGTCGGGCTGTTTCCTCGGCTGTGATTGTTTTCTTGCAGGCTGCGAAGTGTGCCATTTTCGTCAGTCGATCGACGACGACCAGGATCGCGTCATTCCCACTCGCCCCGGCTGGTAACCCCGTGACGAAGTCCATTGTCACTTGTTGCCAAGCACGCTTTGGAGGTGGGATTGGTTGTAATTGTCCCGCCGGCCGCTTCCTGGTTGACTTCATGAGCTGGCAAGTGGGACACGATGCCACGTGTCGTTGCACGTCGGTCAACATTTCAGGCCAGTAATAGTACCGCTGCAGCTGCTGCCGTGTTTTCTCTACTCCGAAATGTCCCGAGGTAACTCCGTCGTGTGCCTCCTGTAATAGTAATTCCCGTAGTAGTGTGTACCCTGGTACCCAGATGCGGTCGGTTCCAGCTTTTACGTAATAGACTCCCTTGGCTGCTTCGAATTGTTGCGAGTTTCCTCCTGTGAAGAATGGGTCTGTTTGATATCCGTGGGTAAATAGTCCTGTCAGTAGCGGACTGGTCTGGGCGAGTAGTATCGCATGGATCTGGGCAGTGGGGCGGGTCAGTGCGTCGGCAATATTGGAGGCTCCTTTTTTATAGGTGACCGTATAATGGAAGTTCGACTCGAGGAAGTCGAGCCACCGAATCTGTCGTGGGTTGAGGTGGGGCTGTGCACGGAGGTACTGTAGGGATCGATGGTCTGTCCGTACTGTCACGTCTGCGCCGGTCAAGTAGCAGCGCCACACTTTGAATGCATGCACGATCGCGAACATTTCGCGGTCGTGTATCGGGTAATTTCGCTCAGGCGGATGCAGTTTGCGTGATTCGTAGGCGATGGGTTGGAGGCCATTGCCGAAGTCCTGTAACAGTACGGCTCCGATGGCGATGTCGCTCGCGTTTGTAACAACCTCGAAGGGGCGATGTGGGTCAGCGATGCGTAGGACGGGTGGTGAATAGAGAACAGTTTTCAGGGCAGAGAAGGCAGCATGCTCTTTCTCCCCCCACGTAAAAACGACCCCCTTGTGAAACAAGTGAACAGGGATGACTAAGGAAAGATTGGGTACAAATACAACCCTAGAAACCCTGTACCCCATATGTGCTACCCCACTATAGCCTACAGCAACTATGTCATATAAATCTGACACACCCCCATAGGCAAAGTGGGGGAGAACAAGGGGTCACAAGACCAGTCAAGTAAAGCAAAGCAGAGCAAGCTTAGGGTGGATCACAACGTCACCACACAGTCCGAGCACAAGAGCAGGGCCAGAGGCCAGTTCACATGTAGGAGTACAGACATATATATATATAAAACTAGACAAGCAAGAGCAGGTATATATATGTCACAGTACAAGTAAAGTCAAGAGGAGAGCAAGTGAGGCAAGACAGGCACAAGACCCAGCTGGGTGCAGAGGCGCTGATGGTCACAAGGCGCGAGTGCCTTGGTGAACACATCAGCAGTGTTGGCCTCAGAGGCCACGTACGCAAGCCGCAACTGTCCACGCTGCTGCAGCTCACGAGCAAGGAAGTAGCGAAGAGCAATGTGCTTCGTTCTGTGCTCCAGACGCTGCTCTCGACACAAGGCCAGCATGGCCTTGTTGTCTACGTACAGCACTGGAGGAGAACGAGGCGGCTCTCCAAGTTCAGTCAGCAGGTAGGTGAGCCAGCGAAGCTCCTGTGCAGCCATGGCCCCAGCGTAGATCTCAGCCTCACAACTGGAGCTGAGAACCGAAGACGAGCGAGTAGCCCGCCACGAGACAGAGCCGGAACCAAGACTGAAGGTGTAACCCTGTGACGACCGCTGCGTAGCCTGGTCGTCAGCCCAAGAAGCGTCCGCGTGCCCTGTAAGGACCACTGGACTCCGCCCTCCAAGCACTAGCCCCATGCCCGACGTACTGCACAGGTAGCGCAACACCCTCTTCGCTGCAGCCATGTGCTCTGGGCGGTGTCTCCCAGGAGCAACATAGCGTGCAAGAATGCTCAGAGGGTATGCAAGGTCAGGTCGTGTGCAAGTCATCAGGTATATAAGGCAGCCAACAAGCTCTGGGTACGGGCCACTCGACTCTACGGACTCATCCGAAGGCAGAGCTGAGAGCGAGTGGCGAGTAGACAGAGGAGTGGCCTGAGGCGAGGAGTACGTGAAGCCGAAGCGCTGAAGGACCTGCTGCACCATGTGTGACTGAGTCAAGGTAATGGTGCGGCGTGCTCTGTCCCGAGTGATCTGCAGGCCAAGGTAGCTGCGCAGTTCACCCAGGTCTGTGCACGTGTGTCTCTTCAGCAGCTCGGACTTCACGTAGGCGAGACCAGCAGTGTCCGCTGTGGCAAAGACCAAGTCGTCGACGTACACGAGGATGTAGAACGGCGGCAGAGAAGTGTCGGTGCGCAGAAACAGCGACGGGTCAGCAGTAGAAGGAGCAAAC